CAAAAGGCGCTTTGAGATTTGCAAATGCTTGAGCCCAAAATTGCCGCCTCATCTCTCACTCGAAAGCAAGCAAATATGCTTATGTATCTGCATATATTTTATGTAATATATCTGTAAACTATATCTGTATCTGCATCCAAGCAGCCGATTTGTGTGTATCAAGACTGATTGTGAAAGAAAGAAAGAAAGAAAGACAAAAATTGCGACCGAAATTTGTGTTGCGTGTACGGTGGTGAATGGAGAATGCTGACTCCTCCTCCAAGAGAGCGGCTGACTGGCTGGCCGGCCGGCGGGCCGGGTCAACGTTTCCCAGCAAAACCCGCAACCAACTGAAAAATTTCGCTCAATGTTTTTTGCCAACTAACCCGAAAGTTCAAAGTTCAAATTAAAATATTCAATTCAATTGTACAACTGCTCGCGCTCTAAGTGGAATTGCAGCGAGTGGTGGATGCATCCGAGTCGATTCTGCAATTCCGTTTACGAGACTCGACACGACCCGACCCGACCCGACCCCCAAAATGGATCCCGATCCCAGCACGCAAGTCAAACGAACGTCAAAGAACGAAAGAAACGAAACGTCTGTTTGCTGGGAACAGAGCGGATGCGTGGACCGTGGGAAGAAACAAACATTATTCGTGCTTTTCATATGCGTCACGTCACGTCACGTCCATTTAAACAACTCCGATCTATCATTGTACAATGTATATTGTTGTGTATATTGCGGGCCCACACATGGAACTTTTGCCTTCACCCACAATGTTTGTCTCTTTTTCCAAGCCGAATCTAGAACATTGCCCTTCTCCCATGCCGCCGCCGCCTTGCTGACGTGCACTCTTGCTCTCTCAATTCCAGGCGACATGCAGATCACCTATCGCGTGGAGGTAAATGCCGACGACGCAGCCGTCATTGTGCTCGATGAGAGTGTCTCCGTGAAGATTACCCTGACATCGCCCTTGCTGCGGGAGGGTAATCCGCCAGAGGTTCCGGTCAAGCAGGAGGAAGGCGATCCGGCCAACGCTGGCGATACGGATCTTCTACCACGCGAACCTTGTCTGCGGGTCAGTACAATGGACCAGACATAATCCATCGGCACTGACATTGTTTGTGTAATTTTCAGGCACTGGCTGACTTGCGGCACGCCAAATGGTTCCAGGCCCGTGCCACTGGCCTGCAATCGTGTGTCATGGTCATTCGCATTTTGCGGGATCTCTGCCAGCGCGTGGCCTCGTGGCAGGCACTGCCGCAGTGGTCTTTGGAACTGCTTGTGGAGAAGGTAATCTCATCGGCTGCCTTTCCAATCTCTCCCGGCGACTGCATGCGTCGCATTATGGAGGCATTGTCTTCCGGCTTTCTGATTAACGGTCCGGGACTGCTGGATCCCTGCGAGAAGGATCCGACCGATGCGCTGCTGGTTCTCAGCAAGCAAGAGCGCGAGGATCTCACTGTGTCGGCCCAGCAATTCCTGCGCTTCATCGCCTTTCGGCAGATCTTTAAAGTGCTCGGCATGGATCAGCTGCCAGCCATGAAGTTTCCCGTGCGCCCGTGGCGCATCAACCGTAAGCGTCGCCGCTCGTCGGGCAAGGCAGGCGCATCCGGCACCGAGGCCGAGGCTGCTGAGATCGAGGAGACCGGGTCCGATGAGAAGGTGCCCAAGAAGGATGGCGCCGGCGCCAGTAGCTCGCCCGCTTGAGCTGCACTAAGCGGCATTAGGATTTATACGTAGACAGACCCCGGCTACTAATATAACACTTTTTCTCAATTTAATCGCGCGTATAGCGCCACCTAACTATAAACTAACTCTATCTCTCCATGAGTATTCAACCAATTGCGGCTCATCGTTATTGGGCAGGAGCTAAACATGTCCAACATGCTGCCCAATTGGCAATTAGAGATTCCCCCCATAGAAGTAACAGTAGCCCCCAACTCAACTTACAATATCTACCGAGCATACAAATTGTATTTTTTCTAGACTTAGGCGAGTGAATGCAATATTCAGTTTGGATGTGGACACGCATGTGTCCACCCGCCACACACATGTTTCCAATATAACATAAAAAACGAAACAAATTTTAATAAACCATATAATGATCAAATACTATAATAATAATACCATTCCAGTGTTTTATTCTTACTAGTCCGATGTGGGAATGTAGCTCAACCAGAAGATGCTATATCGAAAACAGAGATACCTTTCTTTCGTTCTTCTTCGACTCAACCGCGGAGGAACTCCTTTTGTGCAGTCCTTTGGTGTAAATCGAAACGAGAGAGAACGTTGCGAGTCGCAGCAAGGGCCGCGGCTATACTTTTATACGATCACTCTGAACATTGCTCGCACTTGTCATGAGAGAAGGGGAAAAACATAGGTAGAAGGAGAGACACCAAGACCTCTAACAACATCTGGGTGGCGCACACTGCACGATTAAGAGTGAGTGAGGGAGAGTGTAACAGAGAGAGAAAGGGCTCGTGAAAGGGATAGCGTAGTCACGGTAAAAGGAATTGTTCATTCTGGCTATAATATTGATCCGATCGGATCGCGGTTCGGCAATCTGGTAGATATGATAATTTTCTACGATTCTGCTGTTTCGGTTGTCTCGCATCTTCAAAATGGGGGATGCCTCAGATTTGCTAAGGTTTTGCATGAATGCCAAAGAACAAAAATTAAATAAGTGAAATAATTAATGTATTTATGTACATAATTTTATGTCCTTTGTTTTATGGATGCTCCTTATTTGTTATATTGAGCTAATCGCATTATCTTTGTTACGTATAAAAAAGTGAACCTACGTTTTGCAACGATTCGAACCAGTTCGAGATTTGAAGTGTTATCCATCCCTGGCAAAAGTATAAACAATCAAGTTGCACCGTTCCATCGGATTCCCTCGTCATTGCGACTAGCGCTATTTAACTATGCGTTTGGTAAGTCATGCAGAATACATAAAAACATCATTATCAGCGGAAATGACTCTCTGTTTCACAGTACTGCCTAAGCGGCGACCTGGCCAAGCCATGCTACATTATCACCTTCAAGGGCCTTCGGATTATGCTGGACTGCGGCCTCACCGAGCAGACAGTACTGAACTTCCTGCCCCTGCCGTTTGTCCAGAGTCAGAAGTGGTCCAGTCTGCCCAACTTCATTCCCGGCCGCGACCACGATCCACAGTTGGATGGCGAGCTGAAGGAATGCTGTGGCCGCGTGTTCGTGGACTCCACACCCGAGTTCAACCTGCCCATGGATAAAATGCTAGATTTCAGCGAGGTGGACGTGATACTTATCTCAAATTATCTAAATATGCTGGCTCTGCCGTACATCACGGAGAACACTGGGTTCAAGGGCAAAGTCTACGCCACCGAGCCAACGCTGCAGATCGGACGGTTTTTTCTCGAGGAACTGGTCGACTACATCGAAGTATCCCCCAAGGCGTGCACGGCTCGCCTTTGGAAGGAGAAGCTCCACCTGCTGCCGAGTCCTCTGTGCGAGGCCTTCCGGGCAAAAAAATGGCGCACAATTTTTAGCCTGAAAGATGTTCAGGGCAGTCTTTTGAAAGTAACCATAATGGGCTATGACGAAAAGCTGGATATACTGGGCGCCTTTATAGCCACTCCCGTCAGCTCTGGCTACTGTCTGGGCTCCAGCAACTGGGTTCTGAGCACGGCTCATGAGAAAATATGCTACGTTAGCGGATCCTCAACGCTCACGACGCATCCGCGACCCATCAATCAGTCGGCTCTGAAGCATGCCGATGTTCTGATTATGACTGGACTGACGCAGGCACCCACAGTTAATCCGGACACCAAACTGGGCGAACTTTGCATGAACGTTGCCCTGACGATCAGAAACAATGGCTCCGCCTTAATACCCTGCTATCCGTCGGGCGTGGTGTATGATCTGTTCGAGTGCCTCACCCAGAATCTGGAGAACGCTGGCCTCAACAATGTGCCCATGTTCTTTATATCCCCTGTGGCGGACAGCTCCCTGGCCTATTCGAACATCCTGGCCGAGTGGCTCAGCTCTGCCAAGCAGAATAAGGTTTATCTCCCGGATGATCCCTTTCCCCACGCATTCTACCTCCGCAACAACAAGTTGAAGCACTACAATCACGTGTTCTCCGAGGGATTCAGTAAGGACTTTCGGCAGGTGAGATTAAAGTTCAGATAGGTCAAGGGCTGATTTTATAATGCTGGATTTTTCCACAGCCCTGCGTGGTCTTCTGTGGACATCCGAGTCTGCGCTTTGGCGATGCCGTGCACTTCATTGAAATGTGGGGCAACAATCCCAATAACTCAATCATATTCACGGAGCCCGACTTTCCCTACCTGCAAGTATTAGCGCCGTTCCAGCCCTTGGCCATGAAGGCCTTCTACTGTCCCATCGACACCTCCCTCAACTACCAGCAGGCCAACAAGCTGATCAAGGAGCTGAAACCGAATGTACTGGTCATTCCAGAGGCGTACACAAAGCCGCATCCCTCGGCGCCGAATTTGTTCATCGAACAGCCAGATAAGAAGATTATAACCTTCAAATGTGGCGAGATTCTAAGGCTGCCACTAAAGCGGAAGCTGGACCGCATCTACCTCACATATGAGCTGTCACAGAAGATATTTCCACGTGAGGTGGCCGCCGGAGTGACCTTCTCAACGCTAACGGGCGTGCTGCAAGTCAAGGATAAGGTGCACTGCATCCAGCCATGTGCCGAAATAAAGGAGGAGCCCAGCAGCAGTAGCGCCGGGACTGCTGCCGCGCCAACTAAAGAGGATGTGCTCCAGAAAGTAAAGTACGAGTACGGCAGCATCGATGTGGAGGCTGTGATGAAGCGTCTAACTCAGGACGGCTTCACCAACATCAAACTGGATCGCACAGACGGTTCTTTAAGCATACAACTTGTCAACGAGGACACTATCATCAAGTTCGAGGACAACGAAACTCACATTATCTGCGGGGGGAGGCCAACGACGCGTCTCAAGCTGCGTGACACCATAATGAAATGCTTACAAAGTTTTTAGAAACATAAATACATATCTACTTCCAACAATTATTAACAACAAGATTGAGCCACTAATTTTTCGATTCCATTACCTGGGCGCAACGCTGGCACGTCTCTTGCTCAGCATCTTCGTCTAGACTATAGCGACGACACCGCGGACAAAGCGGTGCGTCAAGTGCTGTCAAGGAAATGTCCAGGTCTTCGTCCAGATCAGTCTGTACGACTGCAACGCTGCCCACCTGCAGTATCTCAGACAGCTCGGAGCTACGCATAGGCTCCCCGAAAGCGGGTTGCAGTTCACGGAGCAGCTCCAACTGGCTGCCACTCTTGATGGTAACAGCCAGGTGCCAGCTGTTAACATCTCCAGCCTGCTGGTTGATCAGGCGCTTAACATCGAGGGCTGCGTTCACGACATTAACGGCTTTGGGATCATGCCAGTCTTTTTGGGCCTGGACCATCTGCTCGTGGAAGGCACTTCCCGATGGATCATAATAGCTCCAGCTTTCCTCCACCAAAAAGGGAGCTATGGGCCACAAGCTCTTGCACAGCTGCCGATAGCAATGGGTTAGCGTCTGACGAATGGCCAGCAGCTCCCGATCGTCGCCGCAGTAGAGGCGATCCTTGATTAGGTGCACATAAATGGACGACACCTGATTGGCAATGAAGTTCTGGATGCAGGCCACCACGCGATTGTACTCATACGCGTTGTAGAGTTTTTCGATCTAGACAAAATAGTCCAAAGTATAGGTCCTGTGGCGTTATAGGATCATCAGGGCTTACCTCTGATTCGAAGTCAAGCAAGTTGCTCAACAGATACTTGTTTAAAAAGCTAGCGTCCAGAATTGGCTGCTCCAGCTCCTCTCGGCCTTCTCTCTGCTTTTCTCCGATCACACCCTTTAGATAACGCAGTGTTCCGCGCACCTTGCTAAGGTTCTCAGTCGCCTTCTGGAGCAACTTGTCGCTGACCGTAATGGACGTGTGCTGGGTTCCATGGGAGGCCACCCACCAACGTAGAGCGTCTGTCCCGTACTTCTTGGTAATCTGTTTTGGGGAAATTACATTGCCCAGCGACTTGGACATCTTGTGCCCTTTCTCGTCCACTGTGAAGCCATGAACGAAGAGCGCCCTTTAAGAGATGTCAATTAATGATGTTCTCTCCACTTTATGCTCCTATTTTCACTCACTTGTAAGGAGCGCAGTCGCGGGCAGCGATGCTCGTGAGCAGCGAGGATTGAAACCAGCCCGTGAACTGATCGTATCCCTCCAGATAGAGATCCGCCACCTGTTCCTTCTTCAGCACCGCAGACCAAGTGCTGCCCGAGTCAAACCAAATGTCGAGTATGTCACTGCCCTTGACTAGATCCTTTACTTCGTAGCCGAGGTCGGCCGCGATTTGAGGAGGTAGCAGGTCCTCCAATGACCTGGACCACCAGAAGTCCATGGAGCCTTGGCTGCGCAGCAGACTGCAGAGGTGTTCTATCAGTGCTGCATTGAGCACCACTTGTCCACTCTTCCGACTGTAGAGAACAGGTATGGGCACGCCCCAAGCCCGCTGTCTTGATATGCACCAGTAGGGTCGCTTCTGCAGTTGGGTGAGCATTGCTCTTTTGCTCGCCTCGGCATTGGTACGTGGATAGACGTCTACTTGCTCCAGCGCTGCGGCAGCACGGGATTTCAGCCGATCTGTATTGATGAACCACTGCTCGCTGGCCCGAATGATTACTGGTTGCTTGGTCCGCCAGTCAATGGGATAGGAATGTTCTAGTTTGGCAGAGTGTATAACATCCTCTGCTATGTGCTGCAGCACGAGAGGATTACCCTGTTCCAGCACAGATTGTCCGCGTAGAAAGCTGGGCGCTTCCATTGTATAAGCGCCTGCCTCGTTCACCATGCATTTAACGGGTATTTTCTTGTCCAGGCTAACCAGAAAGTCCTCTGGTCCGTGCGCAGGTGCGGTGTGAACCAGGCCCGTGCCCTTGCTGTCCTGTACATGGCTGGCATCGAAGAAGGGCAGATGGGTCTGTTCCTTGTCTATGGGATGCTTATAGGTAAGCGTGCTCAATGAGCTTCCGGGCAACGTCTGGACCACCTCGCATTTAAGCTGCGTGGAGGCCTCAAAGGCTGACAAGAGAGCGGAGGCCATGAGGTAGAGCTCACTTGGGTTGCGATCCAACAATCTGACCAAAACGTACTCGAGGGAGCCATTGAAGCAAATCGCTTGATTGCTGGGCAGAGTCCAGGGCGTGGTGGTCCACACAAGTGCATAGGTCTGCGACCCTTTGGTCTCAACCTCCAGTCCACTGGGGTTTAGGGCGAAGCGTACATATACTGAAGGACTTATGTGATTGGCATCGTACTCCAGCTCGGCCTCCGCCAAAGCTGTTCTAAGAAAGAGCATAAGCCACTCATCCAGACATAAGAGGGACCTGGACTCACCTGGAAGACGGGGACCAGTACACCGGCTTCAAATCGCGATAAACGAGGCCGCGTTCATAAAGATTGTGAAACATTTGAAGCTGATTTTCAATAAATTCTGGATGAAAGGTCGTGTAAATGTTGTCTTTTTGCCAGTTGGCCAATATCCCCCAGCTGCTGAACTCTTCCTTCTGTGACTGAATGGCCTCCAGAGCAAACGCGCGTGCTGTGACAACCAATCTCTTAGTTAACAATTCTGCGAATCCCAGAGAATACTTGCATACATTTCTGTCGTATTTCAGCAGCACTCTGGCCCTCTGCTGCACTTGTCGCCTTCAGCTCAATGGGCAGACCGTGGCAGTCCCAGCCAGGAATGTAGTTGACCTTCTGTCCACGGGTCACCCGCTGTCGCAGAGTGATGTCTTTGAGGATCTTGTTGACGGCGTGTCCCATGTGCAGCTGCCCGTTAGCATAGGGCGGTCCATCGTGCAGCACAAACGTAGGTTTCCTCTTCCCACCCAGTTGTCGATGCTCCTGATATTCATACGCAACGGCTATCTTGTCCTGAGGAAACAATACTGTATGTAATAGAAGGCCCTTCGTAATGGGATCTTCAAGAGACTTACAGCCAGCAATTGTCGCTCCTGTTCCTCGCGTTTGGCTGCACTGAGGCGGTTAGGGAACTTTGTCTTTGGTAAATTAATCGTGTCTGTATATTTCTTTACATCTTTTTTTGCTGCTTTCACAGAATATAATCGAGATATTCCAACTCGAAAATTGAAAACACGCAACATTTTGCAACGGAAGAAGCAGCCGGCAGAAACAGCTGTTTAATAGGGCTGCAAAACCAAAGATGGACTATCGATAATATCGATTGTTTTGGTTTTATACGATAGACAGATTTGTTTGGGAAGTTGTTACTTCTTGTCCTTGGGAGAATCCCCCTTTCCCTTTGGGTCTTTGGATTTTGGAGGGTCGTCCTTTTTGGCCTCTCCCTTGGGTGCTGCCGCCTTGTCATCCTTCGGCTTTTCTTCCTTCTTGGCGACATCTTTGCCGGTGGCTGCCTTTTCGTCCTTTTCGCCCTTGTCACCCTTGTCGCCCTTGTCGTCTTTGGCCTCTGGCTTCTTGGCTCCCTTTTGTGACTTTGGCGGGTCATCTGCGGCCATACTGGCGGCCAATTTATTCGCCTTCGCCAGCACTTCATCCGCATCGCCGACCATGTAGAAGGCTATCTCCGGAATGTCATCGTACTCGCCGTTGAGCAGGCGCTTGAATCCGTCCACGCACTTCTCGATGGACACCACTTTTCCCGGTGAGCCGGTGAACACCTCGGCCACCTGGAACGGCTGGGAGAGGAAGCGCTGGATCTTGCGGGCACGTGCCACGGTAATCTTGTCCTCCTCGGAGAGTTCGTCCATGCCGAGAATGGCAATTATGTCCTGCAGCGACTTGTACCCCTGAAGGGTCTTCTGCACAGCTCGGGCCACGTTGTAGTGCTCCTCCCCAACCACATCTGGATCGAGGATGCGAGAGGACGAGTCCAGAGGATCCACAGCGGGATATATGCCCAGCTCGGCGATGGGACGTGAGAGCACCGTGGTGGCATCCAAGTGGGTGAAGGTGGCCGCCGGCGCAGGATCGCTCAGATCGTCGGCGGGCACATAGACGGCCTGTACCGAGGTAATGGATCCATTGCGGGTGCTGGTGATGCGCTCTTGCATGGTACCCATGTCGGTGCCGAGCGTCGGCTGATAGCCCACGGCAGATGGAATGCGCCCCAACAGGGCCGACACCTCGGACCCGGCTTGGGTGAAGCGGAAGATGTTGTCAATGAAGAGCAGCACATCCTGTCCGTCGATGTCCCGGAAATACTCGGCGATGGTGAGGCCAGTCAGCACCACACGGGAACGGGCGCCGGGGGGCTCGTTCATCTGGCCAAAGACAAGGACCACCTTGGAGGTGTCTTCCTCGAGGGAAATGACCTTGGACTCGATCATCTCGTGGTAAAGATCGTTGCCCTCGCGAGTACGCTCTCCGGCACCCACAAACACGGAGTAGCCGCCGTGCGCCTTGGCAATGTTGTTGATCAGCTCCATGATAAGCACCGTCTTGCCCACTCCGGCGCCTCCGAACAACCCGATCTTGCCTCCCTTGACGTAGGGGGCCAGGAGATCGATCACCTTGATGCCGGTTACCAGGATCTCTGGCTTCACGCTCAGCTCCGTGAGCACGGGCGCCTCGGTGTGGATGAACGAGTGGTATTCGCTCTTGACTTCGCCACGTTCATCAATGGGATCGCCCACCACATTGAGGATGCGCCCCAGGACGGCCTTGCCCACCGCCACGCGAATAGGATAGCCAGTGTCGACGACTTTCTGGCCACGCTTGATGCCCTCTGTGGCGTCCATGGCGACACAGCGTACGATGTTATTGCCCAGATGTTGGAAGACCTAGCCAAGAGGGGGAAACAGAGAATATGAGAGGAAAATTTAAGGTTAAGCAAGGGCTTACCTCCAGGACCAGACGCCCAATGGGTGCATCCTCCACTTCAATGGCGTTGAGTATGTCAGGAACCTCTTCGGGAAAGTATACATCGATGACGGGTCCAATGACAGCGTGAATGTGGCCCTTGTGACCCTTGTGTTCCAGTTTTATGCCTCCCTTTCCTTTCTCTGGTGACGAGTCACCCGACTCACAAGTTTCTTCCGAATCCTTGGCGTGCAGCGCCTTCATGGCCACCTCGCAGGGATCCTTAATTTTAGGCGGAGTTTCCTCGCAGGTATCGGCGCCCTTGTCTTCCACTTCGCAAGGATCATCGCAATCATCATTCTTGCCTTTGCCATCTTTGTCGTTGCCCTTGCAGGCGAGCATGCGAGCGACATGAAGACGACGCACCTGAAGAGGAGACTTCACTATGCCGATCGGATGGCCCAGCACCAGAGCTCCCTTCCGCTGGCCAATTTGAAAGCCGGTTCGTGCACACACTGCCCAGGGTTTTTCCAATTACATTCAGAATCTACAGCACTTACTTATTAAAAGCTTTCTTTCTTACCTGTGGCCAATCGTACCCAAGACGCCATCATTTTTATTCAATTGTATTCAATTAATTTTTCTTATCTTTTTTTTCGGAGTGCTTCTGCTAGCTTAGCAGATTTTCAAATGAAATGAAAATTTTCCTTATTCCTTATGCCATATAGAAATTGGGCTCAAAGCAAAGCCTACTTTGAAGTAAGAACGTTTCAATCCAATATTCCGATAAATTCCGCTTTGACAAGATGTCGATTTATTTGGAACTTGAATGTAGAAAACGGTTTGAAAAGGAGCGAGATAGAGTTTTAATCCGCACTTGTGGAATGACGAGAAAACAGATGGATATTCTCAGGAGTATTTGGTTTTATTTGCATTCGCATAGCTAACATGTGATTTTGATAGCTAAATAGGGGGTTCCTAAGACCGATCGCCACAATGGACATTGCTTCGGACATTTAAACTGCTAGTTCCACAAGCATTAGGGTTGCCCGTTGCCATGGCTACGGGGCAGCCCGTCGTTCCAGGCACAACACTCGCTCTTTAGTGTTCGCTGAAAATGGACGTACTCTCGCACTACAACTCGCCCGTCGTCGAATTTCCGGCAACGCAGCCTCTGGAAAAACAGTACGCACTGGTGGACAACTGCACGGGCACGGATCCGCCGCCACCAAGCGCAGATGCCGGCACCGCAACACAGGAGAAGCAGCATGCGGCCACCCAAACAGAGCAACGGGTCGCCAGCAGCGCGGCTGTCGAATACGACGAGCGGGCGCTGGCCAAGTGGCTGCGCCAGATATGTCCCATGGTGGAGCAGGAACTGATGCACCCCACGCCCCTGATGGATGAGCAGACGATGAGCCAGGCAACCCTGGAGGAAGAGCAGAAGGTGTACACCTACCAGAAGATAGTCATGGGCGGCATTGAGAACTCGCAGGGGCTGGCGATTTGGCTGTGTGTCCACACAAACAACGCTCCCGTGCTGGTGGTCACAACGGTGGCCCCCCACGACGATTGGTGCGAGCATGTGGACCAGCAGCTGAAGCTATTCGTGCCCCAGCGAATGTCCCATGGCAACTTTGTGATCTACTCGGAGGTCAAGACGCTGCCGCTGAAGTCCTGCCTGCGCAGCCTGTGCACGAATCCGTTCAACAAGCACATGTTCGCGGGATCCACCATGGACGGAGAGCTGTTTGTCTGGCTGTACGAGCAGGCTCGAGGGGGCGGCAGTGACGCCAATGTGGACATCCAACAGATGTACAGCGTGTCCTCCGCGCAGGGTGCAGCCGTCGCCTTGGACTGGGTTACGGAAACGCTTCTGCTCGCCTGCTATGCCAACGGCTCCATTCGCCAGTGGGACCTCAGCAAGCAGATGACCCTGGATTGGGAGTAAGTAATAATGAGAGGTCTATGTAGCCGCGTCTAGTTATACCCCCTTTGCCAGATACTGTCTGCCTGGCACTGTTACCTCGGAGCTGACGGCAATGGTGGCCCTGGGAATAGATGATTTTGTCGTGGGCACCAACGATGGCGGCACCTTCCGCTGCTGGAGCACTGGTCGCCAGGCCGCATCCGCGAAAAAACAGCTACAGCTGCTGGCCTTGCGTAGACATCGATTCATGGTCTCCACGCTGCTCAGGACGGAAATGGCAGGCCACCAATTCGTGCTCAGCTGCGACCTCAGCGGCCAGGCGTTCTACCATGACATGCGACACGCGGACGAGGTGGTTATGTCCTCTCAAATCCATATCATCCTCCTGTTAACAATGTCTCCTTTCTGGCAGGACATGGCTCAGTTGATTGTGCAGATACCATTGCCCTTCAAGAACGTCGTCGCCTGCAGCCGTGATGGAAACATCATCTACTGTCCCGCCAGCGACGGGGCTCTGGAATACTACAGGGTCAGCGATGGTGCGCATGCGCATGTCAAGGGGGCCTTGCGCGGCAAAGGCAGCCTTATCCGGAGCAGTGACAATGGGTTGGTTGCATGACTTTGATCCGCACGAGTGCCCTTTAAGTGCATTTGAAACTCTCTTACAGGTGCTGGTTGATCACGGGCCTCTATGGCGACGAGTTTCAGATATTCTACGTGGAGCATTGAAAGATTCATGTTTCGGTCTTGATATAATCGCTTGTATTTGCATGACTGCTTAAGTTAGTGTACGGTTAATCTTCTCATAGGGTTGCTATTTACACGAGTTTATTTTAAAATTTCTCAGATCTCTAACAAATACCATGTGTAGATATATATACTATGTATTTTTCTTTTTTTTTTATAAACAAGAGTTTCTCTGTTTAGAATTTCGAACAAAATGCAAAATGCAACAAAAGTATAACAACTATTGCGTTAGATCGACTTATTTCGGGTATCTCGGGGGCAAACTGCGCTAAAACTGCGCCATAAAGTTCTCATAAAATTCACAAAGTAAAACATTCTCAACACGATCTACATTGCCAAACATTCAATAGTGTACACTTTTTTATCAGGCTTGTGGTAAATACATTTTGTATATAAAAAAATAATGATAAGGTATAGGGCAAAGAAAAGTATCGGGTTGCAGACGAGCCACAGAGAGAATGACATAATTACAAAATGGCAATAGATGAATACTTTTGCTTGTATTGAAACACTTGCCCTAGCGTAGAATAAATTATACAATTAACATACAATTAACGAGATATACGGGTTATATAAATATATAATAGAACTGCACACAATTTTGCTAAATCTCCCACCTGCGAACGTCCGACTCTATCATAACTTTGCTACTCAGATCCATGCGATTTACTAATCCAGTCAACCTCCTTCCACACCGTATCCACACTTTCAACTTTTCACTTAAGCCTAGGCTGCAATCTGCACTTTGCACATATCAAATATTGTGGGTGTTGCGATAGTAATAACTAGAAGCGGCTGCGACGGCGACGATGACGGCGGTCGCCCAGCTTCCGATTGGCTGATAAATTCAATTGAAGAGCACCGTATTGGGGTCTTCGTTATCCATTTGTTTCACATGACGCAGCACATCCTTCTTGGTAATGACACCGAGCAAGCGACTGCAGTGGAATGTGGACAGCATGAACTAACTGATATAATATTATCCCAGAATAGAACACTCACCCATTGTGTGTGACTAAGGTCTGCCGTAGGCCCAGCTTACGGAACATATCCACTACCGTTTCCATCGGCGTTTGATCTGTCACCGTGATGGGCGCCATATCGAGTATCTTTTTCAACTTGAGAGGTTGGGGTCCCAAGTTTTGGGTTGGCGTGGTCGAGGTGAATAATACTATGGAACTGCTGCTGATGCCCTCGATTAGACGTTTGGCATTTCCTACAAGAAGCACGAATATTATTATAGGCTATATACAGGGTATTCTACTGCAAACGTAGAAGAGCAGCACTCACCGATGGCCAAGTTAAGATCCCTGCGCAAAACAAAGCCAACCAAATATTGATTCTCTCTGGAAACCACCACGGGATAGCCGTTGTGTTCGGTCTCCTTCAGCAGGTTCTCCACATCGTCCACAGTCATGGAGTCTTGCGTGATGACATTAAGAGTTTCATTGCGTCTAAAAATAGAGTTGGGTTAATTCAATTGGACAAATACCAGCTCGTCAGGGGCATCACTCACTTGGGCTGCATTACATCTGCGGCCAGCGTGGTATGCGCAAACTCCTCCTTGCTGTCGAGGAACGGATAACCGTTGAGCGCAATGTGCGCATCGTAGATGCCCTGTCTACCCAAAGCATCGCCCACCCACTTGGAGGCCATGGCAGCTGCCATCAGCGGAACAATGTACCGCACGCCGCCCGTCAGCTCGAACATGATGACCACCAAGGAGACCGTCATGCGTGTGACGCCGCCCAACACGGCTGCAGCGCCCACCACCGCATACAGGCCGGGTGTTATGAGATTGCTGTCCGCGCACTCCCCCGTGAAGAACCAAATGTTAGGATAGCTATACGCAAACTGCTCCACCCCAATGCCCACAATGCGGCCCATGATGGCGCCCAGCAGCAAGGACGGTATAAAGAGACCCGCCGGCACTTTCATGCCGAACGTGAAGATGGTTAGGGCTAGTTTAAGTATAAAGGTCAGCATGAGCAGCCATATGGAGCTGTAGACGCCGGGTCCGGGCTCTGTGACCTCAATGACACTGTTACCCATGGTAATGTTCATGCGCTTGTACTCGCTGCAAGGGAAAACAATTGAAAACGATTGAGAAATCATTTGCATGCAGAAATATTCATTCAATGATATACCCACCACAAGGGATTAGTGACATCACCGGGTGAGCACTTGCTAACCAACAGAAAGATCAGCTCGTTCATGTTCATGCGCGTGAAGGGATTCGGGTAGCAGATGATGCCGGTGACCAGGGTGACAAATAGCACTTCCATGACGGGATACTGGCCCAGCTTGCTGAACTTCCTGTAGCGACACCACCACAAATTGGCCTTGATAAAGAACGTTCCAATCACTCCCTAGAAGTGAAACCAGATTAACAATGAGGAATAATATGGCAGCCAGAATTGACCTACTCCCATGATTCCCAGAAACACAAAGGGAATAAGTTCGAAGAAGATCCACGGCTTGTTGTACTCCACGAAGAAGAGCACTGAATGCTCGTTGCCGAAAGGAGTCAGCGAACGCAGTACGAAAGCGGCAATCAGCGCACAAAAGAAGGAACGCCACAACGTCTTTAAGGGGAAGTAGTAGGACACCTCCTCCAGCGAGAACAGAACACCTCCGATCGGTGCCCCGAAGGCCACAGAGACCCCTGCCGCAGCAGCTGCCGAAAGAATCTCACGCTTTTTGGCCTCGTTGCGACCGTACTTGGGGAACAGATGCGAGAATATGTTACCGATGCAACTAGCGATGTGGACCATGGGTCCCTCCTTGCCCAGGGTCAGGCCAGCGGACACCGACAGCATCAGGCCCACCGATTTGATCAGCAGGGTCCATTTGCCCAAATAGCCGCGTATGATGAAGCCCGACAGGATGGTCTTTATCTCCGGTATACCCGATCCGCAGGCATACGGGGCAAACATTCGCACCAGAGAGGCGCTGAGCGAGGCAA